CTCTTAGAAGCTGCAGCTCTATGTATATAAATAACAGATCCATGGCCTTTTTGATCACACAGTGGTGCAGGTCTCATGGGTATCTGTTACAGACATGCAATAATCTCCCAAATTAGTCAAAATTCAGTTAGCCTAAGCAGCCAACATTTTTCAATGACTGGGTGTACACCAGCAAAGGGAATTTATACAATCCAGTTTTGTATCCTATATCTATGCTGCTTTTGACCCAGTACTGTTGGACTGGCAGAAGCTCTAGAGCTGAGCTTCATGTCTGAATCCCAGCTGCTCACTCATGAGTGGACCATACAGGCATAGATGTGCACTGCCTTAACCCCACTGTGCAGAATTCTTTAGGCCACAGGGACTTAGAAATAGCCTGTAAACATATTTCAGTAGTACTTGAAGTGTTCTGGATCTATAAATACAAATTACAGTCAAAGAATTTTTTAGTAATACCAGTAGGCAATGCGTGTAAGAGAGACCATTTATCTTCTCCATGACTGGGAAAACGGAATTTTCATTTTTAGTATTATGGCTCCAGTTTTCTCATGGACTGCATATCTTGGTAGCAGGATCCCTCTAGTATCATTTCTTCCATTCCATTCACATGTTTAGGTTTACTTAAATCTGAATGTAGAGTCTGGTAAATCACTAACAAATGGTAGTCACTGTGGCTTATATGAAGTATTGCATATGTTTGCAGCCACACCCAGGCACTCACCTTAAAAGCACATAGGGACAATAGCACTTGTTAGCTTGCACAATGCATGAGATAACGTGATGCAATGTTCATCATGTCATTGCTCTTGTATGTGCTGTTCATGTCAGGTGTTAATCCTGAGCAGCACGTAAGTGCATGGCACCCATCAGCCCTGCACAGTCTTGTTCACCCTCATCTCTGCTGGGGCACAAAAGGTTTGGTAGAAGTAATCCATCTGATCACTCCCTTTCTACTCTTATGTCAAGTCAAGGCAAAACTGTTTTTTGCTCACTAATTCTCATGTAAGGCTTCCAGTGACTTCATCTATCTAGGACTTTGAGGGTGTGAACCATTTTGTTATTTATAGAATTACTTCTTTTTTACAGAGATGTTGGCAGGGTTTAAATCAGACAGGAAAAGTGCTAACATGATTGAAGACAAGAAATTAAAGACAACATTTTTTAGTATGTAGGAAAGGATGATTCTCATATCTTTTTTTCACTAGAAAAATGTGTTTTTCTGAATTTTTAGAGAGTTGAATGTTTATCAAGAAGACATTTAACATATTTCCTTGGGAGAGCAAAATATACTATGTAAATTTTATTTGGTTTTACAATTTTTAAACTTTTTTTTTCAGAAGAAAACACCATATTTATATCTAGAGTTATTTTGAGCAATATGTAATATTAGCGTATGATATGTTGGTGTCTTTTCAAGATGGGAATCTATTTATTGAGCATAGGAAGCAAAATGTTCCTTTATAAATAAAAAGTGTAGCAATATTTTAAGTCCTTGGAAACAGGATGTAAATATTGACATGCTAGTATAAGGCAGGAGACATGCTGGCTCTGAAGGAAGACTGAATAAATGTATCTTTGCATTTAATCATCATTTACATAGCTGTTAAGAATCCTTACCACTAAATTTAGACTAGAATGTTTTTGAAAATAACTCCTGTTGAGTACTCTAGAGTTATACACAAAAAGTGTACAATTGTAACATCCTCTTATCAAACTAATACTGTAAACTGAGAAAGCTGCTTTAATTCGGAGATGAAATGTAGAATATTACAGAAATTTCTCAAATTGTGAAAATAGATGTCAGGAGAACACATTTCATTTCTGTCATTTGTAGGGATTATTCTTGACCTTCCCTGTTTAAGCAAGGAGGAAACAAAGAAAAGGACAGGGAGAGCTTGGGAAGACACCTGGCACTTAAGAGGAGTCAAGGATGTTCAGAAATAGTTGTGATTTTTTCAGAACTATGAAGAATAGTGCTTGGAAGAAATGGAGCTTCTTTCCCTGCCTTTCCATTCACTTTTCCATAGGGTCAGTTTGGAGTACTTACAAAAGACACAGATTGTTATAAACTCAGCTCTTCATATCTGTAAGAGCACTTGTTATGTACATTTTCTCTGAGATCATTTTGGAGCAGCTACCGTTACAACATTCATTGTGTCCAGCACATGTGAGGCATCTGAGCAAAGAGTTTGCAAATTCTCCTGCCCAGGCCAAGACTTAGGAGTGGATCTATTGCCTGTAGGAAACATCAAAGCGTTTTGAGAAGGATACCAGACCCTGATGAAAATAACATAATCTATTTTACCTTGTTATTTATGTATGTATGTTGGCTTTAGCTGAAGGTTTTTGGGCTTTCTAAGATTTCCAGCTGCAACATAAATGGCCAGATTAAAAATAATCTTTGGCTCAGTTGGTGCAGCGAGCAAGCAGAAAGCTGTTGAGTCATGAAAGTGGTTGGAGGTCCTGATGTCAGTGAGGAAGAAGGAAGTGGGCTGCTTACTCTGATATGTTTTAAACAGCTTTTAGTAGAAACAAGGTAGTACTGGAAAGGGTTTGCAGTCCTTTATTCAAGAAGACAGTCTTTTGCTTATATGAGTAGCTGGCTTCCCCTGCGTCCACCATGTACCCTTTAAAATTTTCACCCGCTGCCTAGGAGATATCCCCTTCCTTCCAGTGTTCTGGGCTCTGGCCTCTCTGCCATGCTCCCTGGCTTCCTCCTAAAATGAATTGGCCAACTGTTGGTGGGACAAATTGAACATGATTATTTGAAAGAAAGACCAGCTAACTCCGTAAGGCCTGCATACAATCAGAGATCTAAAAAAAGAGGCTAATATTCTCACGGGAATTTGCATTGAAGGCATTCCAAGCACCAGGGAATTCCATGGGCACACGGTGTAGTGTTGCTCTGCACAGGAGTTTCAGTACATAGCAAACTTTGTAATCATGGTTTCACTAGAGTCGGGAGTTTACCACTTGTTCAACTAGTATTTAAATTATGATCTCAAAATTTTCCTTTCCCATGTGTAGACCTGAAAAAGACTTTATTTTTTAAACTGGCATTTCAGAGTACAGGTAAATTAATACATAATCAGTCTCCTCTGTTTGATTCAGTGGGAATACTGTCCCTTTGAAATAAACTTCCAGCAGAGTGTTGTGTAAGAGGGACGCAAGTTTACAACTCTCACATTGTAAACTAATGGTCTGAGTCTTTACCAGCTTATTCATAGTAGTATTTTATTAGTGCTACAGCCAACAAAAGCATATTGCTTGTGTTATCTATGCTTCTTTATAACCATATTACCAAGATTACAGCAATTCATTGCCTGACATTTATCTATCTGACTGTCAAATCAAATATTCATGGAGTGCTCACTGCTGCTCAAAGTAGCCTGGAGAGACAGTTCTAATCCCTCTGGTAACCTCTCAGTGTCTTCTAACTGGTTGTGAAGGAGGTCTTGCATTATGCATTTGCAAGATCTCATCTCTTTGGTTATGTGTTTCTGGTGTGAGCACTTGTCATTCCTTTAGTGTGTAATTTATTTGATGGTGTTACTGGTATGCTATTGCATTTGTGGTGTGCAGCGTGATTTTGTATTGCTATTTATAACATTGGTATTAATGGTAAGTTTGGTGGTATAGTAAGAGAAGAAAGATTATGATCTCCTTCCCAATGGATACCAGCAGATAGGAAATAAGGCATTTCATAATGGAACAATATAAATAAAATGCTACTCATTAAGGGCAATTAACTGAAAGAGAATACAGTTAGTTAAATGCACTGAATCTTAAAAATAGTTAATTTTCTTAAAATGCTGTGAGCATTTTGATTTCAAATACATTTTAAATGAACAAATATTAAAGAATTGAAGAAGGCTCTTATGAACAGTCTTTGTGTTAAAGGATTTCCATTAAGCAAAGACTCATAGATTCACAGAATTCTATGGCTAAATAGGAATGTCTGTCGTGTTGCTAAGGTCCTTGAAAATGTCCAGAGGAAGCCAACAAAGGGCTGAAAGTAATGTCCTGCTAGGAGCACCAAAGAATTTTGGGCTTGTCTAATTTGGAGAAAGGGAGGCTGAGGGGTGACCTCACTGACCTCCACAATTTCCTGAGAAGGGGAAGTGGAGAGGGAGGTGCTGATGTCTCCCTGGTGTCCAGTATAGAACGTGTGGGAATGGTTCAAAGCTGCTGTGGGGGAGGTTCAGAGTGGACATCAGGAAGCATTTCTTTACTGAGAGGTTGGTCATGCACTGTAACAGGTTTCCTAGGGAGGTGGTCAAAGCCCCAGGCCCATCAGTATTTCAGAGGCATTTGGACAGGCATGAATTAGACAAATTAGATCCCATCCAACTGAAAATATTCTGTTCTATTTTATGTCATTCACCTTTTGGACTTCTCCCAGTCTCTGATAGAGACCTTGTGAAAATCTTCTGAAGAGTAAGAAAAGTGTTAGTTTTGAGTGCAGGTCAGTTGCAATAACTTCAGGTTCTTCCCACAAGGTGCATGAGGAGAAACAACCTAATTAACTCTTTGCTCTGAGAAAATGCTTGGAAGTATGCCAATCATTAGGACTTTCCAAGTATTTTCCAACTGTGAGAAGGGAGTAGAAAATAAAACAGCAGCAGCAGAATACTCTGTGGTAGCAGATTAATAAGACTAATATAGAATCTTTTACTGGAATTGTTATGAAATATTAGTAAGGGGTTTTTGTATAGCATAATTCTTTTGATTTTAGTTGACATACTGGTTTAGGCTACCAGCCTTCAGAAGCCCTGCCAGTGCCAGATGCCTCGATAAAGGTCAGAGGGGCGTGACTCACCTGTGAGGAGGGTGTTGTCACCGCCAGCTCTGGGCAGGACAGTCCCACCTGTGGTGTCCCAATTTCCAGGTAGGATGTACAGCCAGCCCTGATTGGCCGCGCTGGCTCCCACCTCGGCACGGATTGGCCGAGCCCTCCTCCTCCTCTGTCTCATCTTCCTGGGCACTGGCACTGCCCGGCTGCAGCTCCTCCGCACTGACCACAGAGCCACCGGAGGATGCCCACGCATCAGCACTTGGTCGATAAGGTGTGTTGCTGGGGATGTGGTGGACAGGGTGCACACTAACTGGTGATGCTTATTCTCAAGGGCTAAAGAATTGTGTCTGTGGCTCATCAGGAGCATCTAGGAGAAGGAGAAAGATACTCATAAAAAATGGGAATAGAAAGGGGTATACAGGAGCTAGTCTTAAACTGTTGGCAGGATGGACTTGCAAGGACTGTGTTTTACAAATTATGGAGAGGTATTTATCATATTCGTTAAATGCTCTATATTTAAAAGCTTTTTAAACAGCTTTTGTCTCTATTTAGAAGTTTGCCCAAGGCTTTGGAGGAGCAAACCACCAAAGTGACTCTTCCCAAGTCAAGTAGACTTTGAATGCAGTAGCTAACTAGCAGGGATTTAATTGTTGGCCTGAAGACATATTAGAATAAATATGGAATAGGATTCTTAAGGTAGCAGCTCAGGTGTTGAAAAGGTGAGGGCCACATAGACTCATAGGGAGAAAGGTTTGAATCTGTGATGAAAAAATAATTATAATTTTTCCATCAGATGAAAGAGATGAGGATATAGTTATTTTTTCATGATTATATCCAATTAGAAGTTTGCAGATAACATTTATTTGCCAGAATTCTCTATGCTTCTCTTTTATAAATATTTAATTTTTGGTTTTTTACATGTTGCACAGAGAAAATGTAAAATATGTAATGCAAGGTAACATGATTGCATGGATTATATATTGGAACTCAGAGCTCATAGAAGTTTTCTGCCTCAAGTCTGGACTTGGAGTTTTTTAAGATGCTAATATCTCTCTTTCTCATCTAAAAGCTAGTTCCAAAAGATGACATGATGAGACTCTTAGAATACCTCTTGAATTATTAAATCAGAGAGCTGATGCAAAGAGAAGGCATCTCAGCCACGTTTCAACTTGTTGTACTTGTATTTCTGGCTCTTTTCTAGCAAGAAAAAGAGGAAATATTTCAAACTGGCTTTCTTTCATGGCCGAGTGCAGTTCCACACAATTTTCCAATCCTAGCTAAACTAGGACTTTGCGCTTTGAAATGGAACATCTAATTAGAAACAGACTTTTTTTTTTTTCCATCTCTCCATGAGTCAGACAGAGATTTCAACAACACATAGGCTGGTTCATATTAAATCACTGTTTACCACATCTGTTGATATAATAGCACCCACATGCTGTATTTAAAACTTAATTAGAGGTGGGCCACGTCAAAATCGTCACAAGAGATTGGATAACCGCGCCCAGCGTGCTGATACCAAAACATGATGCTCACAGGATCCCATTAGAGTGACACTTTGATGAGGCTTTGGAGAGGTGCAGCCTTCACCTGCTTTAAAGACGTGATAACTTGCATCTATCACTTTCCTGGTTGGTGCTCTGAGTAGTTGTGACACCTTGCAAACCGTCATCATCCTACTTGGAAAGCTTTCAGCATTTCACAGTCACCTGTTTTATTATTTGTTGACTCAGGGGCTTTTAAAAAAGTTGTTGAAGTTCAGAGTTAAGTACATGAATATTCAGAGTTGTGTATTTTTCCCCTGCTTCCAGATGCTTCTGTTACTTATTTCATTACACATACAAAACCAAATGATCTTACACAGTTCTGCATGAATTATGATACACGGGTAGATGGTACAAATTGAACATATCTCTTACGTTGTGTTTGAAATGCTTTAAAAAATCTCAAGTGAATATCTCAGTTCTTTCTGTTGCTGTCTGTTGTGTCACATGAGGCAATCCTGCAGCAGACAGCATGTAAAATAGCATTATTAAAGACTTCTGGAGATTGAACAGCTGTATCAGCAATATTGTAGCTGGAAGAGTGAGTTGTTCATAGGGTGTAATGGCCTTTTAAGTATGTAGTGCTTATTATTCAGTGCCAGTTGAATATTTAGATTTTGAACATGGGCTGAAAAATCTGATATTAAACACCTGAGAATACTTTTGGAAAATTTTTCCTTTCTTTCTTGGAAATAGTTTGCCATCATTGCAAGTGAACTATAAAGAAAATACATTTTTTCTTCCTGGACAGTCCTGGAAAATTGGACTTCAGTCTTGTCTCTTAGTTATTTTTTGTGAATTTCTGTACTGGTTATAGTTTTTTTACTGATTATAGTAATTCTTTACTAATAGGAAGCATGCAGTAGTTATTTAGTATTTTTAAAATGTTTAGAAGTTCCAGAGGACTTTGCAGAAATCTTTTGTTAAGTCCTTCAGGAAACAAATATTTGAAAATCTTTAAGAGTACTCCAGGGCATTTAACTAGATTTCTTGACTGTCACTTGAAAGTGAGAGTAGGGAAAGCAGTCAAAGAAGAGTATGCTGATCATGGTTATATCTACAGTTTGAGAGAGCAAGGATTCCCTCTGAGTTCTTGCATAGCCAAGGAGCTGAGCTAAATCTGCCAGTGCAACAAGGAGGAACTTTGCTTGAAGGACTTTTCTAGTTCAAAGGTGTAATGCAGCAGACATGACTGTTAATGGACTGCTGACCTGAAAATTTAAACTCCCTTTGATAATTCTGTATTTTTAAATTATTATATTTGTGTCTCTTATTGCACTTTTCTGACAGTGTATATAAGTATTTTATTGTTATTTTTTTTCTTCAAAATACATGAATGCAAAGAAAGAGCAGCTTTCTAGGCTTGCTTTGTTTCTTGTCCTGGAGAAAAGCTGATATTTGCCAATTAGTCAACTACTTAAAAAGTAACTATGATCTGAATTGTCTTTTCATTCCACAGATGAGGAGACACTCCTGCTTTGTTTTTTTGTTCTGTGGGATATTTTTGCCTGGAATCCTTGGTTTTCCACAGACAAATACTTCAATTGATTGTGATTCTCTGTTGCCAAACTATGAAGTTGAACCACAGACATCTGCCCCGCCATATATTATTGCTGTATCTTTTGATAACTTTGAGCCAGGAAATGAAGTCCAAGGTAAACAATCTGAATGATATAAAATCTTTGTCCATGACTTCCAGAATTACCAATCTTCATAAAAATCCCCCCATTTCCCTCCCAGTTTAGATAATTTATTTTTTAACTTCAATCTTGTTCATATATACCTGAGATACTATATTTTATGTTTTATGTCTATATGGACATACTTGTATAGCTGAACATGCATTCTTTCTTTTTTCTTTATCTAATAAATATATCTTAACTTTATGCTGTAATTTTTGTGGCAAAATTAAAATTGAGTGGGACAGCTAGCCAAACTGGACTAATAATTAGTTGCTTGTTAACTTTGTATTTGATTATTTGCTGTTGAATCAGGCCTCTGCAATACAAAGGGATCCTACTCATTAGTTCTTCACACACTGTCATCCTACAGGAAAGTAGACATTCAGGACACAGTATGGCACTACTTAAGAGTGATACATTTTGAGTCACCCTTCTAAGAGCTGCATCCCAGATTTTATCACATTGCAGGAGGTGGAGCTATTGTGGTTTAAACCCTCTTTTTGTTTTCCTAATCCCAAATTGCTCTCTGGATGGAGCACCTTCACAGCAGGGCCACTGCTCTTTTGGTAGAGCAGAATTCCTTTTGAAATTGTCAGTAAATCATTAATTCCATGTTACTTTACAGAGAAGCACCTTTCCAAATTTTTTCCTTTACCTTTATTGTCATTCCCCTTACAATTAAGAAAGGTGTTTTAAATTGTACAGGGCTTAAAGTGATTTTTGCATTGTGCAGAATTCTGCACAATGCAATCTTGTGCCTTGGAGTGAAGCAAATTGCATGGTAAACGTTTAGGCAGTTTTGGTGGTATATGAAATTTACATTTCTCAAAATGCCTCTTTTCACAGTAACTCTAGAAGCACTTGGAGATGCTGGGTTTAAAGGATTTAATCTACAAGCTCGAGAAATAGATGGAGATGTTCCTGTTGGTACTTTTAAAATTACAGATCCAAACACTAAAGGCTTGGAGTGCCATAACATGACGGTATGTGTGTGGTCTTTGGAATACTTACTGGAGCTTGCATTTCTTTAAAATAATAGAAGTAAGGATCATTTTTATACAGCAAAGCTATTTCTTCAGTAGAGTTTAAAAGGTTAGGTTTTCTCAAGAACTTCATCTATCCTTTATATGTGATATGAACCTAATATAGAAATTCACTGGCTCCCTGTAGCAGGACATCAGTGTTACTTATTGTAGTAAAGACAGTTTCTGTAATAATATAGCTAAAAATCACTCTTACATCTTATATAATTATATGTATTTCTTTTTAATTGCAGAATTCAGCAGTGAGTAATGCCAATTCAGATGTGAAACAGAAGGTTACAACAACATGGGTTGCTCCACATGATATTAGAGGAGAGCTTCAATTTATGTAAATAGTTGTTTTTCTTTTTTTTTTCTTTGCCTTGAAATTTTCCTTCTGTATTGAGATAGACCTGTGATGCTGTTTGAGATATCCTTGTCCAACTTATTTTTTTTCATAGTTTGCCATAGCTTCACACTATGTTCATTAAATTATTTCCATTTCAAAATATAGTTGTAATAGTTAATATTCAAAAGATCTTAATAACTGTAAATAATTCCAGTAAGCATAATGTAATTAATGGATCTTCAAGTAGCCATTTTTTACATTTTGAATTCTTTAATTACAACAGCAGCAAAATATGAATGTAACTCCTTCCCTGAAAAAATGAAATTCAGACCTATTTAGTGATACCTTTCTTCATTTTGAACAGTGGTAGTATAGCCATTTGATGTAAATTCTTCTAATATAAATTTTAAAATAAATGTATGACCTATGAACTAACTTCTGAAAACATGAGAAGACATATTTAGCCTACTTTTAATGCTTCATTTCTTGTAGATGTGAACCTTGTAAAAACATCACCTACTCTAACAAATGCATGCTTGAAGTATATTGGAAAATACCTAAACATTCAATAGTTTGTATTGTTTGAAGTGCAGATTTATGATAGGGCCACCTTTGCCTCGCTTCATTAAAACTTGAGGAATACCAAGAGCAGGCAAAAGAATACAAAACCACAGTTGCTTCCACTCATTATTGCCATGAGAATCAGTTCACCGCCATAGATGCAGATTGTCAGAGTGTGTGGGACAATTCCTATGGACATTTGAGCCAATGCTCCTCACTGGTGTCAGAGCTTCTTCAAACAGTGTCTATCCCTCTTCTGCTTGTTCTCAGCATCTGTTTGAGTTATCTTCAAAGTAATAATTATGCTGGATGATAATACAAGCCACTAGAAGGAAAAGTATTCTGTGAAACTTGCACTGTATGCACTTAAAACCAGGACACAGCGGATATTCTTGGCTGGGGGAAAAGGGGGACAAGAGTTTATTAGTATTTTATAATTAAATACACTGATAGAAAATAAATTATTTTGTTTCCTCTAGTGCAACTGTTGTTCAAAATCTAGAGAACTTTTGGGTTGGAATTCAAAGCAAAACTCTCACACCTACGCTTTCTGAGTCAGTTAATGCAACAGGAAAAAGCAAAAGGAAGGTATGTTTTAGTGTATCTGAATGATAGAAATTAATACAGGAATTAAAGTATCTTTGGCTTGATACAAGATATACACTTGTTGTCATTTAGTCCTTAACTAAGGCAAAACCGTTAGATGTTTTCAAAAATTTTCTTTTAACTGCCTAATTCTCTTATAAAAATGATGAAAAAATACAGTTAATACTCTTTTTCTCTACAGAAATGAGGAAAGTAATTATCTATCAAAACAATCCATGTCTTAAAGCAAAAAAGAAAAAAAGAAAATAGAATTGGTTATAGAACTGTACTGTACTTCTGATGTACAGTGCTGTTCTTAACTGCTGCCTCAGCCCCTGGGAGCTGTAACTGTAGCATCTTCTTGAAAGGAGTTGGTAACATTTTTTTGCCAAGAATTATGCTTCCTTGAAACATATTAAACATTGGCAGCTCAAGTAAAGTCTCCTCAAATCTACTGTATTGGACTGCAGCAGCAGTGATTTGTGTGAACTTGTGATGTAACCAAGAGTAAACACCTGTCTTAAATCTCTCACTTCACCAAATGTATTATCTGTTTCCTACAATAAACGGCTTTTTTTTCCCCCAGTGAATAATTTGGTAATGCTTCCTCTTTTGTTTTTTTCCCCACAGCTTATGATAGAATTAGAATGTAACAAGGTAAGAGCAAGTTTTCTTCAATTTCCCATCTTCCAAATACCTCAGTTTTAGAGTTCTTCTTCTAGTCCAGTTGTTTCATGCTTGTAGCATGAAGATTCTATTGTACCATTCAAATTACTTTCCTAGCAAGATGTTGTTCATGCTTTCATTTTTTTATTCAGTTTTGAATGTATTTTTATTTTGAATTAGTTAACATCAGTTTGCAAATGAGATTGTTAAAATGTGTAATGTACTGTCAGCAATTAAAAACTTGATTTCTTCACTCAGACCATCAATGTGAATTTGGTTGATTTCCTGTTTAAAGTAATTTGATATCTTTACACCAGTCAATTAACAATAACTGGAACCTGTATTCTCTTGCAGCGTGGAGGGACTTACTCAACAGGCCGATGCATCATGGTAAATATTCCTTCTCCAAAGACATTGACACGCTACTAACTGCTCAAGATCTCAAGGCCTAGTCAAAAGCTACTTCTAGACATGTCTTTATCCCCCTTGTAACTCAATTTAATTTTCTTTTTGTTAGTTTATCTTTTTTGATTAAAAATCCAAAAATGTATAAAGACCTGTCAGCCTTGTTACCATCTCCTTCTGCAGATTCTCTCTGCTAATCTGTAGTAGCTCTATAATAGAAGTTTTCTTTTTTCTCTTTTCACTCTTTATTCTTAGTGTGTTCTTGCTCTTCAAGATCATTATTTACTTGCCTTCTGCAAATCATGATCTAGATATAAAATATAGCTGTTTGATTTTTTTTCCTTTGAAAACTTTCACTGGCAGCTCAGTGAAGAAGCCTCTTTTCCTTCTTTGCTTTTTTACAGCAAATATGTTAATGATTACATAGTCATGTTAGTAAAAAGCTTTCATCTGCTTTTTAATGATTGTGCTGGTGTAGATCTCCTCAATGATGGACATCAAGTGTGCGAGGTCAAATAAAAAGGATGCAAGCAGCAGAATTATATTTATAACAGCTGGATTGGCACAGTGTTGATTATTTGTCTTGAAAGAGCTTTGAAATAATTTTATTAGTATCGGTGGAATGAAGTAATAGAAAACTACTTTGTGGGTTCTTCCTTCTCCCACCAAGTAGAACTTTATTTCCTGAAAATCACTTTTTTAAAATAATTTTTCAGCAAGATAGTAAATACCAGTCTGGTTTCTTTTCAGGTTGGACCTTCCGGTTCCTCTCAGAGCAGCTATTCAGGCAGTCAGGTATGAGTCCCAAATTCCAGCATTTGTGTGTTTTCCTTCAGTAACCTTGAATGACTAAAATTCTATAGCATTTACTGTGCTGAAATATGTTCTTTGCTAGTTAGCCCAGAATGGCAGAGGTGTCTATCCAGCAAACAGTGTGTTTGTACCTGGGCTAAGTTCACTGCCTCCACTCTCTTTTACTCAATGGGTTGCTCCAGTTTAATGTCTGTATTGCTTTTAGTACTGGACTATATTTGCAGTTGAACATTTGGGGCTATCACTGTCTAGTTAGCCTTTTAAAACTTCTGGGGTATGCATGTCTGCATTGTCACCACTTTCACTTCATTCATCACAGCAATGTATGCTTGGTTTTTAGTTGATCATCTCCCCTACCATTAATATGAATTAATATGAGTTTCTCTTCAACTCTTAGATACTTTCTGGTGAATCTCCAGTTTTTTGAATATCAAGGACATATGTCTTACTATTTTCTAGTGGTTATATAAATTAGTGAATTATTTGGTAATATTCCATTTCTTCAATGTTTACTGCTTGTAATGAATTACCATATACAGAGAAATACGAATTAGTTTGACACATATGCTAAAACCTGGTTTTTTTCCTTTTATTTTTTTTAATATCTAATACATATTCTTTTGTAAGAGTTGAGTTTCTCATCTTGTCATATAACTACTTGAAGTTATTTTTTTTTAGTAATATTTTAAATGACCAGTGACAAAGCTGATGAAACTTATATGAAATACAGATGAAGTCTCACACTATATTAAAATCATTATATAGGCAGAGCCAGTGAACTGGTAACCTCATTACTAGTTTATCCCTTGCTTGCATATACTCATTGTCAGCTGCACTGCTTTTCATGCCATAAATAGCATGGCATTGGGCTTTTTCTCTTTTGCCCCTTTGACCCTTTGAGTTTTTTATATGGAAATGATTGACTTCTGTTTTTATTTCAGGGTGGAGTAGTCTACACAATAAGCAAGAGTGGATGTGGCCCTGTAAGCACTATTTTTTCATTTTCTTTTTGTCCCCTGCACAACTATATTCATAGAAACTCCCAGCTTTCAATGACATTATTTAAACAATATTCATATGGGAGTCTCTGCTACAAATAGAAAATACTGATGAAAAATAACTGGTTTATTTTTTGTCTTAGGGAGGTGCTGCTGGTGCATATGGCATACATGCCTGCAGAGATGTAAGCTGATTATATATGTTTTTGCTGACTGTTTCCTACTATGCTTCTTAACTCATCTCCTTACTGAAAATTGCATTTGATTCTGTTCTCTAGAGCTACTGAATTCTTCCTAAATATGTTCAGGATAATACTGTTAACTTGAGGTATTATTCTGAAATTAAATCCCAAAATTAAAAGATGTTACACTGCCAGTTCAAAGCCTAATAATTTATGTTTTAAGGTGTATGTGTACACATAGTTGATACATAATATCACCTAGTAGAAACTCTTAATTTGCTTCCCTACTACAATGTCAGAATTCTTACTGTGTAATGCTTTTTATCAGGTAAAATTATTTTCTTTGGATATTTTGGAATATTATTAGGGGTTCTTTACAGTCTTTGCATATTAATTCTTTAACTAGTTTCTCTTGTCCATCTCATTTATTTCTTTTTCACATGAAAACTAATTAATAATTAGCAAATTATTGTATAAATAAATACCTGATTTATATTTTTATTTCAGAGTGCATCCAGCAGTGGTATTAGTTATGGCCAGGTAACTGTATTTTCCAATATGTTTTTAGCTTCCTAAGGTATTCAAAAATGAAGCAGTTATGCCCAAATTTACCAAGCAATAATTAGATTTGTGGAAGGGGATAAAGGAAAACTCTCTTCAAATTATTTAGTAATGATCACACCTGGAAAGAACTTCATCAGATGAATGACATAGTTGGTGTTTGTTGCTGTATCCTTACTTCTATTTTCCACCAAAATCAATTATATTTATTCTATAAATGGACACCAGTTACTTTTACTATGCTTTCCCAAAAGTCAGTGCTTTGTTTGATGGTTACTAAGAATTAAAAGTTTTGGGCTTTTTTTGTTTTGGGTTAGTGTTTTGGACGAAAGTGTAAGAGTTTAATATCAGTTTTTTCCTACTGATAGATTTTTTTTCCCTACAAACAAACTTCCAATTTGATGAAACATTTGCAGCATTTATACAGTACTTACTCTGTAAAATTAGCAAAATAATTGGACTTTTTCAAAACATTTTCAAGTAGTTGATTTATTGCAGCTGTTAATTTATTAACTGCCAATACATTAATTTTCTTCTGATTTTACTTTTTTTGGTACTTCACGACTATCATATTAGTATGATATTCTTGTGGAAAATAGTGCTGTAGTTAATTTGCCATACATTTAAGTAACAAATGAATTCTGTATTTTTTACAGTCTGTCCCTTCAAGCAGTTCAGATTCCAGTAAGAAGGTAAGCACTCCTGTTCAAAGAGAAAAATTCTTCGTTATAACTTGGCATGGCTTCTGTTATTTCAGTCAAGAGTTTTCAAGGCTTTAATCCAGATTGATTCATATATTTGGTTTGGTTCTTAAGGCTGAGAGAGCTTCTAATGAGAAAACGTTAACACAGCAGAAGATACAATTATTGCATTAGGCTATTTCAGGGTTTTTTGAATGAACTCAGTATCAAGATTTTTTTTATTTTACAGCATAATACTGAATAGAGACAAAATAAATTGATGTTCTAGTTTGAGGTAGAAAGTTGAGGATCAAAAAAGGGCCCACAGTACAGGCAAGTAGATATGGTACAGGGCAGGAAATCCTGCTTCTGCCTCTACACCTGTGTCATTATGGGGTTTGGGGCAAATTGTTTATCTGCTTATACTCTTGTGTAAACTATGTATAAATGGTTTGAAGAGTAATTATTTTTTTTTTTAAATCAATTTTTTTTTAAACGTCATTTTATGAAAGGGACCTTTCATAGCATTATTATCAGAGTTTGTAAATTTACACATTTTAGTATTCTTCATTTTTCTGACATATTTAGCAATATATAAATAATCTTGATGGTAAGTAAATAGCTTCCTCTGGTTTCTCTATAGGTAGTGGTCGTTGCCAACAGCAACCCTTTCCCACCTGTGGTAAGCTGTTTTTCTCTACACACTTTCCCTACAAATAACTTTGACCCAAAAACTTTCAAATATCATATTTTTAATTTTAAGAAATATTCCTGGAGACAATTTTTGGCATGCAGGATTTACCCTATGTGTATAGCTATCTTCAGGGAAGATGTGTTACAAGATAGGTACAAACCTCATGGTTCTGTGATTGCTGTTAATACTTGCAGGGACAATGGATTAGCTGCAGACACCAGGTCTCTCCATCTATGCAGTCTCTGTGTTTCCACATAATTTTGATTTTGTGTTTCTATTGCAAACTTTCTTCTGTAAGTTTACTTCCATTCTCACTTTTAAATTATTACATTTCCACTCTGCTTACTTGGAACTAAAAGTAAGTTTAGCCTTCAGGTGCTTGAAATGAATTTTTATAATGTAGTATTTTATATATGTTGAATTTCTAATAGAACATGTTGTTCTAACTTGAATAAATGTTAAGATGCATTTATTCATGCCATCCTTTTTATATCATTCTTTCACATTCACATGTATTGCATCTGAAATATAAAGGCCCCTTTTCCCTTTCTCTGCTGCAATATTCTGTTTGGGCAAGCCCTTGTGCAAAATAATGAAAGATTTTTCTGTTTCTTTGCAGCGTCACACCTTCCCTCAGGTAAGAATACTTTTTCTTTTGATTCCTATAGGATCATTATAGTTCTTATGGGATCAAACCAGTTGTCTCAGGATGGTGTGTGCTACTCTCTCACATTTGTCCCTCATGCCTCAGAATTCAGCAAAAAATGCCTGGATGAAGAAGATCTGTATGTGTTGATGTATGTGCAGTGACAGTGAGACAGATTGGAGGGGTGATGATGTCTCAGCTTCCCTCCCCACATTTGGAAACCCCAAGCTGACTGCTAGTGCAGAAAGGTGGAGCTCATAACCTGTGCTCTGCCGCTCTCCACAGAAGATGTAAGAGTAGAAAATTGCTTAGTAGGGTCAGTCTGCCTCCCTAAACCTTGAGAATTGAGAATAAATTAGCTTAATGCAAGGTGTTTAGAACTGGTACACAGTAGATCACACATACAACCTTTCCCTTTATTCTCACAAACTAAATACTTCAAATTAATATTATCTGTTTAAGTGGATTGCATTAAACAAAACAATTAAATGTGCTTTATTGTGTTTCTTTGTTTCTGGATTTTTTTTCAGAGTTTGGGAAGCTCTGCTACAAGGATCATAGTTCAGGTAGACTTTTTTTCTCAATTACACTTGAATTTTTAATGAAGATTTACCTTAGTAAACTAAGTAATAATTCCTCTCTTAGGGAACACGTAAGTGTGGGTAACTTAGAGATATCTTAGATGTCCACAAACTACAGTGGTGGGTTAGGGCATTTCTGTGACTACAGCAAGAGGGATATCTTAGCTGGTTGGTGAATAAAGACTATTGCAGCTGTTTTCTACACATAAAAATTTTAAAACCTCTGTATGCAAATTCCATTGTGCTCTCAAAATTGGCAGAATTTGACCATCTCAATCTGCTCAGGAAGGAGGATGGAATTCCAGAACTAAAGCTTGAGTGTTACTCGGTATAAAATCAAATATAAATTGCAACCTGCACAGTTCTGTTTTTATTTAAACAGTCCGTTTTTTAATGGAAACACCCAGCTCAGAATTACATTTTTAAAATCCTACTGTTAATGCACAGGTGAACTGTTGTGTTTGTAATGTTGTTTCTTGATAACCAGGCACTTGGAAAATTGATTGCAGTTTAATCTCACTACGAGCATGATTATAAAGTGTTATGAATATCATTCAGACATATTTTTCTGTGTTCTTTGTCATTTTAGCATCCATCCCTTTGTTAATGCCTAGTCAGTCCATTAGATGCCAGTCCATCAGACTATAGCAACTAATTCTCACTTTCATTGAAAGATCAGTAGCAGGCTACCCCAGATGAAATTCGTCTTTCCAAAACCATTGCTTTCAAAATGTACATTATTTTCTTCCATGACTTGTGGTGAACGCTGGCAAAGAAAGGAATATGATTTCCTTGTTATTTTATTTCTGACTTTAAAAGTACAGTATTTTGATTACACAGGCTAACTCTTTTCAAAGTGTAAATATAAACAGTATTTTATTCCTCTCATAATGTACATATTTTCTGGGAATCAAAATATTTTGTGCAGTAGTTTTTCCTTATGTTAAATTGTAACTGTGGATTTTTCAATTTTTGTTTAGGCAGAGCCTTTGTCAAAAATTTGTTGTGCTTATTAATGAAAAGAAATCAGTCATAATGTGAATACAAATAGATATGGGTTTAAGGCAATTTGTGAGGTTCATTTGAAAGGCAGAATTATTAAAACTCACTTCAAATACTTCAAAGATGTATTATATAATTAATTTGCATTAAGAAAATCATATCAAGATATATAGATACTTTTAACATTTTATTTGTGTCGGATTTTTATATACCTTTTCTAGCACATGGAGATGGCATAAAGTAAGAAAAAAGTGTAATGAACTCTTTGTAGCCTTCAAACTAGTAGGTATAAGGACAGAGTTACTTCTTGAAATGGCTTCATGCATAAGCAATTCCTCTTAAAAATAAATAACCTTTTTTTTGTTCCTATGTAGAGTGGACAAAAACAGCATACCAGCAGCAGTACTTATATCCAGGTAAGTAAACATAAAAAGTTTTATAAACATTCCTATAGACTTCACTAAAACAACTTACAAATAAATTATTTTCTGCATTTAAAAATGGATTTCACAGGCACAGGTATTTCTATTTCCCAGGCTTTTGTTCATGAAAATGCCATCTGATATTGGTATTCAAATGATTTGGGTTTTGCTGCTCACAAATGCATTTCCATGTGTGATGGGTTGGCATGAAATGAGTGTATTCCACTCAGAGCATAAGGGTCAACACCCTGAGAGGAAGCGATTCTAGGCTCATTACCACCAGCTCCATACTGATAGATTCAGAGCCCATGCATATTAGACCTCAAATTCCAAAAGTTGTAAAGGGTAGTTGCTGAGCTTTATAAAAGAATGATGAAAAATCATAATCATGGAACTATGTGCAATGCCTTCCAGCATTGCTTAAAGCCATGAAGATAAAGCTGCTTGTGTGGAAAAAAAAGAAAAGTGAGGGAATTCTAGAAAATACTCACACAATGGCATCATAAATTATTGCGAACTAAAACTTGAGAGTATTCTTTGTATGAACTCAAGTATAAAGGCTCTTTAGGTCTTACTTGTCTTGGGGGCTGGGGGTAGGAGGGATGCAAAAGTCCATCAATATTCTCTGTAGCACTACATGCAACCAGAAAACTGTTTCAAAAGGGTGGCTATGGGATTTAGGGATTAGGGCCACAGGAAGGCCACTACTCAACATCAAGAGTATTTAATATGCACAAGGTTGGCAGTCATGGCTTCTGATGAGAATAGGACAATCTATTTCAGGGCTGTTAGCATACTGCTCTGTCTCCTTTGTGCTTTTTGAGAAATCCCCACAGAGCTTCATTTCTATAAACATCATGCTCTTTCAAAAAGGCTCCTTGTCCAAGTGGTAATTATCTTCTCTTTATTTGAAGGGCTCCCAAGGCAGCCAGTCCTATGGCCAGGTGAGACATTGTTGCCGAAATGTGTTGAGCTTTTCTGTGGGAGCCGCTCTCGTTTTTTTTTACCTTACTGATGTTTTTGAGTGGTCCATGAGTTTAGTTTGTACCACTGAAATACCATGAATGAAAAAAATAACATAATACAGAGGAACTTTAAGGGGAAACAGACTTTTCTGTTGCTGCCGTCATAAGACAAAATAACTTTGTTAATAAATGACTTCTTACCTTCCTTACAGGGCTACAGACCCCAAGGTGGCAGTTCCTATGGCCTGGTAAGCATCAGTCAGAATAGAGCATGTCAGAAATGGCACTATGAAGGCGCTTAGCAAACCCTCAGAATTTGAACTGTAAAGGACACTTACTCTGAATGTGTCAATTCTCACTCAACATCTATGCAAGTCCTACTCATTGATCTGAATCCCAGTGTGTGAAATCATCGCACTCAGCATCCTCAGGAGGGCCAGGAGATGCCTGGCTCTGCACTCTGCCCTGCATGGCTTTAAGATGTAGCTGCTTGCTGTTGCTAATGCAGGCTGGACCCCATACTGAAAGGGAAGTAACCAAATGGTTTCCTTGTCTTAGGGTGGACCAAGTTTCTCAGGCGGCAGCAGCTCCTATGGCCAGGTAAGCAAACTGGCTGCTCTGTAGAAAGTTCTTCACTGGTCTCTCTGTGACTGGCATGACTGGAAGACCTTTGAGAGTGGTGTTTCCCTTGGCAGTCTGTGGGCCAATTTGGGCCACAGCTTCTGCAGAGAATAAGACAATGTGCTGCACAGATGCACAGCTGTTAGCACACTGCTCTGTGTCCTCTGGCACAGAAGAACCTTTTAGGGAATCCCACATGCATTCTTATTGCCATAGATATCATGCTGTAGAAAGAAGTCTCATTGCCAAGGTGGTAATTATCTTCTCTTTATTTAAAGGGTTCCCAAGGCAGCCAGTCCTATGGCCAGGTGAGATCTTTTGCTGGAGTGTGTTGAGCTTTTCTGTAGGAGCCTGTCCTGTAAACAGGCTTTAGGACATGGGTGTTTTATTCCTTCAGGGTGTTTCTGAGTGTCCCTTGAACTTGGTTTGTGCCACTGAAATACCATGAGGGGCAAAGTAACATAATAGAGAGCAACCTTTAATGGAAATTGGCTTTTCCCTCTGGTATTCTGTGATTCTGCTTCTGCTGTGCTGGGACTACACTTACACAGCTCTTTTTACAACTGACTCTGTGCCTTTCTTACAGGGTTTTCAGCCTCAAGGTGGCAGCTCCTATGGACAGGTAAATGTTAGTTGGAATAGAACATTTGAGAAAGTGAAGTGCCATTGCCCTGAAAAATTAACAAATTTTAAAATATTCTTTCTTCAATTCACATTGAATTCTTAACCAATGTATCTCTGAATCTATTTTAAATGTTTTATTTTTAACATGACTGTAGTGTTTCTCGTAGACATACAGCAATCCTAGATTTCTGCTGCTATCTTATCTTTTCCACAGGTGTGGAACTTTATAAATTTATGGTAGAAATAGTCTATTTGATGATGTTCTCATTGCAATTGACAGAATAATACAAATTTATTGTCAGTTCTTTGCTGCTTGCTTTGCTGTCAGCAGAGAAGTAGCGTTTAGAAATTAAAGAGCCTTGGGTCAGATTCTCAGATGAATTAGGAATTTATCTTGAAGCCTGCAACTAATGAATGTTGACCTCCCTTCACAGTTTTTATGTACAATAAAGCAGCCCTAAGATAGCTATGAGTTTTGTCAGGATCTCTATGTCAGACAGCAAAAATAAACAGCATACTTCAAATACTTTTTGGTAATTCCTGTCTTCATAACCCTGCCAGGCAGCAGTGGCACAGGTCTGCAGGTACATGAAACAACTGCACTTCTTTGAGATTATATTAAAGGCAGATTGCAACAGCAAATTATAACCACAGTAATTTTAAATTAATGAGAATTTTTTTTTAAAATGCAGTCATCCCTGGTTAATTCATTTGACCTGGTACTTTGAATTGCATTGTTTGGTTTCCATTTTATGAAGCTATATTTTTTCTAAGATCGTCTTAATTTTTTAAAATTACTTTTCACCTTAATTTTCTCTCAGCTGAAGGGAATTATGCAATTGGGGCCAATGGAAAATACAAATATATGAAACCAATATTCACCTAGTATTCAGCATTAGCCATCCAAGCCCAGTGTTTGAAAAAAAGAAGGAAAAGTAAACATAATAAGAAAATGTTTTGTCCCTTCCCGAAAAATTCTCCTAAGATCAGAGTACTGTCTGAGACAGATGTAAACATACTCTATGATTGTCATTCAATAAACACAGTGTGATCTGTGATCTGTGACCTATTTCTCCTGAATAAGAAATATCAAAATAAGTCTAGTTAATCAGTACAGTATGTACATTCTCTTATTCTGTTTTCTTACCCTAAAAATACACATTAGAGAGACAACTGCTTCACAAATAGAGTAACTGTGAATCAATCATTAATTTCCCACAGGGGTACCAGCCTCAAGGTGGCAGTTCCTATGGCCAGGTAAGCATCAGTCAGTCACCAATCAGAATACAGCACTTCACAATTGGCACTATAAAGGCACTTAGCAAACCCTCAGAATTTGAACTGCAAAGGACACTTACTCTGAATGTGTCGATTCTCACTCAACATCTATGCAAGTCCTACTCATTGATCTGAATCCCAGTGTGTGAAATCATCGCACTCAGCATCCTCAGGAGGGCCAGGAGATGCCTGGCTCTGCACTCTGCCCTGCATGGCTTTAAGATGTAGCTGCTTGCTGTTGCTAATGCAGGCTGGACCCCTTACTGAAAGGGAAGTAACCAAATGGTTTCCTTGTCTTAGGGTGGACCAAGTTTCTCAGGCGGCAGCAGCTCCTATGGCCAGGTAAGCAAACTGGCTGCTCTGTAGAAAGTTCTTCACTGGTCTCTCTGTGACTGGCATGACTGGAAGACCTTTGAGAGTGGTGTTTCCCTTGGCAGTCTGTGGGCCAATTTGAGCCACAGCTTCTGCAGAGAATAAGACAATGTGCTGCACAGATGCACAGCTGGTAGCACACTGCTCTGTGTCCTCTGGCACAGAAGAACCTTTTAGGGAATCCCACATGCATTCTTATTGCCATAGATATCATGCTGTAGAAAGAAGCCTCATTGCCAAGGTGGTAATTATCTTCTCTTTATTTAAAGGGCTCCCAAGGCAGCCAGTCCTACGGCCAGGTGAGACTTTATTGCTGAAATGTGTTGAGCTTTTCTGTAGGAGCCTGTCCTGCAGCCATGGGCTTTGGGACACGGGTGGTTTTTTCCTTCAGGGTGTTTCTGAGTGGTTCTTGAATTTGGTTTGTGCCACTGAAATACCATGAGGGGCAAAGTAACATAGGTGAGAGGAACCTTTAATGGAAATGGGCTTTTCCCTCTGGTATTCTGTGATTCTGCTTCTGCTGTGCTGGAACTACACTTAACACAGCTCTTTTTACAACTGATTCTGTCTCTTTCTGACAGGGTTCTCAGTATCAAGGTGACAGCTCCTATGGGCAGGTAAGCATCACTCAGTCATTAGTCATTATTCAGCATCTATGTGATGCTCCCATATATGTATTGAGAATCCAGTGGTTTCTAACTTGAAACAATGTAGTATCTCTATAGAATTAAGTCCTGTGAACTGTTTTTCACATGGGCTTTGGCAACAATTGGCTCACTGAAGCTGCACTTTTCCCTGTAGAAAGGAGTGTGTTCAGCTCTCAGCTTTCTGATGCACTTTGTTATTCAACATTCTTATTATTTTACCAAATAATTTAGAGTTGGATATAGCTGGTCTTCTGCTTTTGAAGCAGTCTGGCAGCTAAAGTCCTTGAAAATTTCTATCTGTGTTTGAAATGAGAAGAGAGAATGCAAATATTTGGATCATGAGTGCTCTTTTTCTTTTCCCCAGCAGGGTGGATCTGCAGCTTATTTTGGCAGCAGTGGTTGTGGACAAGTAAGACTTTTTCTCCAAACTATTTGAAAACTTGACCCAGCTTTCTTTGCAATACTGACATGTTTTTAATATTTTTTATAATTTTTGTAGTTTGAAATCTATTGTTTTCATTGTTGCATGAACTTGACTATCACAGAAGTCAAGAAAGGCTGATATTGATGGGCATTGTAACCAATATGAAGTGGCTGCTTCCTTTCAGAGTTACACAGGGAAAACAAATAAGTGATTAATCTGTCTACTCATTGAATATATAAAGTGTTTGCTTGGGAATTTTTGGATGTTGCTCCATTTATTTTCTATAAAAAAGAACAGGAATAGACAGTGGCTCAAATGGAGCAATAATTACATTAGTAGTTTTCATCCTGGTTTCATTTTAACTTGTCTATATCTACAATGGTGTAAAAACAATATATTCAGTGATGAGATCCCAGGGGAAAGGATCATGGATGAGGCCAATAGTAAATCTACATTTAAATAAATATATTGAGCAAAGCAACCAGAATGAGAGATAGTCATAGATACAGACATTTTAAGCAGTATTTAGCAGAAATACTAGGATTAATGTAAGTTAAGCATGAATGGAAATGCCTCTGGAAGCATCATAAGGAGCAGTACAACAAGGACACTGTTACCAGCAATGGAAGTGATAAACACTGCAGAATATGTTATTTCCACTAAGCTGTGTCACAGGTTGACTTATCAAGAAAAGACCTGTACTGTACTAATGGGAGGGTGACAACCAGGGTAGAACCTTTTCTGTGTACTGTTCCTCATACTCTTATCACAAAATATACTCAAAACAGTCAAAGGATGGCTCTGAGCAGAAACCTTGCCTAAAATCCATGGTGGTGAATCTAGCAAGAGATTGATGGCCACATTTAGATAGATGGTCACCCAACAGTAACAGTTACTTCCAAAAAATCCCCACCCAGTTCTTCTTTACCAATCAAGAGGAGATCAAAGGATCATCCCAATCAAGGAATGATACAGAGAGACATCAGTTACCACCCTACTGCTTTCCATGTAGCTCAAAAGTTTTCCTTTGATCATCTGTTTGAAAGTGTCTTGATGCTTATATGGGGGCATGAGAGTGACAGAAGATAAAGCCACACACTTAAAAGGTTAAGTAAAACTAAACTCGCCCTCTGTAAAGTTATATGTTGAATTTTGTTACACTAATTTTCACATAGGAAATTTTAAGGAAATTAATTACTTTGAAAGAAAAATGGCATTTACTTTTTTGTCTGGTTGGTTTTTGACAGGGTTCCTCCTATGATAGCAATCCCTGCCACCAGGTAAATGGGCTTTCTTCTCTTATTTTAAGATGCATCCGAAATTAGTTTTGCCACTAACTCAATTAGTACCAAATTCAGATTCATATTGCACAAATCCATGTTATCTTACAAATTTTGAGATTAGAACTCACTGTTTTCCTATACACAGGAATATCACAAGGACTTTGGAGCCTTTTATGCCCCTTTTTCCTAGCATTATATTTTGAAATGTCTAATTAAATAGGACATTAAGGCCAGATTCTGGAATTAAGAAGTCTGCTTCAGTTACTTAATTGGCATGACTTAAATCAGGGCTGGAGCTCACCAGCCTCTCTTTTCCTATCAAAAGCCAGAAAATATTTTAGGACTTCACCTGAAGTCCCTGAAAAAAAGATTGTGCAGTGAGCTATAGATGTATATATGTTGCAAGTTCAAGTGTTGGAGCTCTACAAAACACTAGCCTAAGAGATGTCACCTATGTTTAAAGAACTCATCCCTGTGATGCTAAAAATTAGGCAGAAAATGGCACAGATTATTTCCTTTTTATTCACAATATTTCTTTTGATTCTTACTGAGTTGTCACAAGAAATAGAAAAATTGGATAGATTGCTTCAACAATCTATCTGTGTTTTAGCAATATATATATATAAATATATACTATTCTTGTAAATATGCAAACAACATAGATGTTGATACAATGTATTATTATTATGTGGTACAGTATATACAATGCATTGTGTGTAATAAATTATTATAACTGGATAGAATTATATATTTAATAGGTATATATTTTATAATAGCTTTTTTTAAGAGGACCTATTTCTTTTTAAGACTTAAGAAAACGGTTAAATTTTGTTCTGAAATCTTCTAGAATATTGAAAGATGATACTTTTAATTTCATTTTTCTCTGACTGTTCTGAATGAAGCCTCAGTCTCATTTTAGTGAATAGCAAATATCCCAGTCACTTAAATAATTCAGTATTTCATTGTTCTTAATATGCACTTTTGACACTAATACTTCTACAAAAGTCTCTCCTGATTTCACTGGAAGGAGTTATAGTCCTCTTCTAAAGAGGGCACATTGAAACATACTGAGTGTTTTATTGAAAACCTTTTCCTCAAGGCCACTGTATCTCACAGGTCACATTTTCCTGTATAATAATGCTACTGGGAGAATTTGTGTAAATTGATTCCATTTGTATAAATTAGGTTTTCTGTAGGAGAAAAAAAAAGATATATTCTGTAGAAAGTATTCAGAATGGAGCTCATCTGTGCACTAGACATTACTTAAAGCTACATGTTTGAGGTTCTTTGATTTATGTCTCATCTAGTATTTACCATTGCATTACTGGCAATCTATGCTTGTTACATTAGAAATTATATCCATATTGCATATCTCCCTCTGCTTCTTACTCTTCCTAAGCAAGTATCATAGCTTTCATCAAAAATATTCCATGGTCAAACAGTGAGTTCTAAAGCCATTTTGTCTGCTTTACAGGGTGGATCACAGGGTGGATCACAGGGTGGATCACAGGGTGGTCAGGTAGGTAGATCTTTATTTTCCATTGGTAAAAACATTTAAAGCAATTCTAATCCACAGTACAGTTTTCTTACACATGGGGATATAGACTCTTGCAGAGTCTCTCCATGTCCAGTCTGTAACTCATTCTCTGCAAACATACTTCTTATCAGCCCTGAAATTCCACTTACATAAAATTGGAAGTTAAATAGAATTTCCATAGAACTCAGCAACATAGGACAGCTGTATTCAGCTCTCCAGCATTATGACTGCTGCTGTTTTGTTTTCACAGGGTAATTCGTACTATGGTGGTAGCCAAGTAAGTATTGCCTCCCACCAAGGTGTTATGATGGTTTTAACTTCTGTGATGACTGATCAATATCTGATGGGCAATATGGTGATGGAAATGATGTAAATTCTAATTATTTTGTTGTTGGTTTTTTTTTAGCAGAGTGGATCATCATCCTCCCAAAATTATGGTGACAACCAGGTAGGCAGACCTTGATTTTCTCCTGGTAAGAATTTTTATAATGTTTGATAATTTATCCAAATATCTTGAAAATTGTATTTGTTCAAAGGAATTCTAGGCAATTGTTTATTCCAGCTTTACAGCCTCTGAACCAAATCACAGTTTCTTCTGAAGTAAAATTTATATTTGTTTGTTTTATAGGATGGATCCTACTCACAAAACTATGGTGGTGGCCAAGTAAGTAATACTCTATTTCACTACTTATACATCACTTCATATAAACTTTAACCTCTGCTCAAAATCATGTTTTCTATATTGTAGCTTTCTCCAATTTTGATTGAGTTTTTTGTTTGTTTTAAAGGGTGGATCATCCTCAGATACCTATTATGATAATCAAGTAAGTAGTTCTTTCTCCTAGTTACATAATCCCTACATCAACTAAAAGATCTAATAAAACATAATTGTTTCAGTGATTTCTATGATTTGGATTTGTTTTATTGGGTTTTTTTCTTTACTGAGGATTGGAATATTTTCTGTCAGCCACTATTGCAGCTATGGGTTTGGCTCCTTTTCTTTGTCCAAAGATCCTAATTTAATTTAACTCAGCTTCTTCCTTGCATGAGCATCTCTTCTGTTGTGTAGAGTAAACATGAAAGTATTTGTAGCAATTCATTTTTGTGAGGAAATAACTGGTATCTGATGTTCTTCTAGGACTCACAAGATTCCTCATATGATAGTAATCCCAACGCCTGTGATGATGTGAGTATGCTTTCTCTAACATATTTTCATCACAACATTTTTCATGTAGATGAGAAAATATTGCTCTGCTAGATGCAGTCTTTGGAGCAGAATGATCCAGAAAAATGCTGAGTTTCCACACTAACAGCTGTTTCAGCAACTGCCTCTTCTCTTGCTGAAAATTGTCACTATATGTTTACAGATACAGTTAATGCTTTTAAATGCATTTAACTGGATGAAACGAAATATGAAAAAAAAAAATTTAATGGCTTTGCAGAAATAGATATTTTTCTCAAAATCTAAGGGTACATTTTACATTAATTTAAAAAAAACCTGCAAGAAAATCTTTAAATACATACAATGAATGCAAGAAGAAGGGACAGATATTTCACTGCTTTTCATGTTACATTTGTACCGTACTAAGGTTGTTATTACAGTGTTTTTCCAACTGCAATGGTAGAATTTCAAACTAATTTAGACAAAGCTGTGGAGAATGGGAGCAAAAGTTATTTTTGTTATGTCTGTATGCAATATCAGAAACAATTTATTTTCTTTAAGCTTACTTTATTTAAATCTTTTAAAAATGAAATAATGTATTCTTTTCCAGAATGACACTACCTACAGTGCCAATAGTCAGGTAAGTACTTTGTTTGTTCTATAGTGTTCAAATCCTAATGATTAATGACAATGTTAGTAACTAAACACTTCTATATTAGACCTGTGCACCTTTATTATATGATTGCTTTATACTACCCTTCAAAAAGTTAATTATTTCTCTGTACTCAAGGCTGCTGCACAATTATTTCAAATGACACAATACTTCTAAGAATGTATACTAATATATTTTCTTCATAATATGTCCATTTTGGCTGGATAATTTGGGCATTAATCACCCGTGTACATGAGGCATGTCAAGCTTTTCTCACTTACTCAGATTTAATGTCACTTACATGCTGCTGTTGTAAAGTAACATTTTTGCCTGGTATTACCCAGTATTACTCTCTCTGTCAAAACTTTCCCTCTGTCCTACAAACAGAAACAGTGATTACCATGAATAGATTGTGACCAAGTAAATGCAGTGTTGTGTAAATAATTTATGTGTAAACAAATTACATTTTCTCTACACGTTTCTGTTCCCAGAAAAGCTGTTTCCATCCGTCACAGCCTCTTTTTATTTTACTGCCATCTAGAGTAACCTTCTGTCATCAGCTACTTGCCTCTTCAGTTCTCAGCCATTCACTATTCTGCTTCATTGTTTTCCCTGTTTTTCCTCTTGAATTCATTGCATTAGGTTCAATTAAAAATGTTCTGAAAAAAAAATCCTTCATCAGCCCTGTTTAGCAGCCTCCTCACTTCCTCCTTAGTACATGAAGTATGTTAGTATTCCCTTGGTTATCTCTATCCAGTCTGTATGGCTGGACTGCTTTGTAAAAGAGTTGGCATCTAAAGCCTTTCACAAAGAAGGATGGGGAATGCTAAAAAGTAAAAAAAAAGAGAGAGAAAGGATCCGTATACAAATTGTGTACTAAACTAGAGTGGTTCAGCTGAGGGATGAGGGAGACTCCCCTAAGCAGGAACTTCTGTTGAAAGAGATAAACTGAAAACAGACAAAGAATATGCTTTTAAAGAATCTTACTGCTAATAAAACAAAATCTCTGGACATCTTCCTTTTCCAAATATCACCCTAACAAGTAGCAGATTTTAGTTAAAGTATTTAGTGTAGACAACTACAGCTATAAAGTACTAACAGTCTTGTGGCTCCTTTGCAGCGTTCTGGTTGTGCAAAGAAGAAAGTTGTTGTTGCCCGAGTAAGTAACACTTTTCTTCTTTTACTTTTTGCCTGCTTGTAGGATTTTAGACCTAACTATACCTAACCTGTCTTAAATATACCTAATTTTTCCCTAATCATGTTTATAGTAGTCAATATCTTCCTGCATGAGGGAAAAGGAAAATAAAATTACTTGGGTATTTGTTCTTTGGATGAATCTCTTTAAAGAAAGTATATATATGAGAAAAAAAAAATAAAAAGACATAAAAATCATGCTTTGAAGTATAGCCTAGCTCAAATTCCTGTTCTTCATTAAGCACATACAGATTTGGTCCTAGCTAAAGTTAAAATTAAATGAGTATCATACAAACAAAGGACAGCTAACATTTTAGCTGAAGAAAGATAGAATAATAAGTAAGGAACAGTAAAATTTCCTATTTTATTATGCTCATAATAGGAGATACAGATATCTGTACTGTATATTTGCAAGCCAGACTCAGTAGGAGCCTTATAAAAATTGTAAGCAAATAGTCTTTTATTTTATAATAATGCATTCCTACTCAATGCACACAGTAACGGGTCTAGTGCTCTAATAAATAAATAATATGGAAAGAAAAAAATACCTATCAGTGATCACAGAATTTTCATCTCCTCATTGTAAATGTTATTATTCTTTTACAGGACACATCACATGTTCTAAGCAGAAGAGCCTATGATGTACAGGTAAACCATTCCTGTCCCTTTTTTTGAACAACTGCTGGTAGTAGTAAGCTTCTAGCTCCTTGTGTATTACCTACAAAAAAAGAGAAAGATCTAATGTCCACAAAAAACAACTAATTCTCTTTAGGGTTAGGTCTTTCTTCCCAAATAGAATATATTTTATTTTATTACCCTTACAGATATGAGTATTTTTTTTTCTTCACAGAATGCCTCTTCTCCTTCAAACGGCAGCCACTCTGACATGCAGGTAATAATGTACTGTCAACTGCATAATATCAAGGGGACTTCTGATAAACTATAGATCATTTTGAAAGTTAGGTTCCAGTAATTTTTTTTGAAGGATGCTATTTTGATTTGACAGCATTTCCCTATAATGTTGTAATTTTGTACAGTTGTAAATAATGATATTAGACTCAGAAAATACAGTTTCTTCTGTTCCTTCACCCCACTAACCAGGTAAGAATTGCAGGTGTTTCTTTACATAACATTTTGTAAAATTACTCTGAAAAGAACAAACTACTTATTTTCAGATTCTTATTTTAGAAACATCCTTGCATTCTTCATTGCAATGGTCATACATATAATTGTTTCATTTTGCATTTGGTAAGAAGGTACATTTTAGGGATTGCGTACTTCTGTTACAAAATTAGGTCCAACTTTCATGTTCTGTAGGATATACAGAATATATGCTGTAGCAGTGCTTATATTAGAGAATTATGTGAAATTTAACTGATCCAGAGTGGCACCTTGTTCTGTTTTTCTTAATGTCTTGGATTGCTACCCATCCTAGGGGTTTGAAATCCTGCTACACCAGCATTATGTAGATTTAACAGTAGCATAGTCCTCTGTCTCAGAGAATTTGGAGTTTAAATCAGCATTGCAGACAATCTCTGAGCTCTGGAAGGTAAGAGTTTTCTTAATTAGTTTCCCTAATGCCCATTTCCTGTGAATTTTATCAAGTTGCTTAATTAGGTTTCATTCTAATTTATATTTTTACAAAAATCCAACAGGTTATGTTAATTGGTGCAGGAAGTAATAGAGTTTATAATAGTGTTTCTCACTACATAGTTTTGTACTTTAGATTCTAATAGAATGCTTTAATAAAATATAATTGTTTTTTTCACAGGGCGGATCATTTATTGCAACCAGTGGATCAAGTAATCAGGTCAGGATTTTCCTTATTTTTAACTGGTCTTCTTCAGATAGATTCCTATTAATTAAACTAATTAAATTCAGAAATCAGACTTTAAGTAGTTTTACATGGAAGATTGGTGATGATATGCATTAATTTGTAAATGAAGTGGCCCTATTCATATTAAATTTATCAGAAATGGCTCTCTGAAATCACTTTTTAGCACTGTTTCAACATAACACGTGTTTTACTGATGATAGCATAATGGCATTCTCTTCACTACCTTATACTTCTCTCTTGCTGAGGCATCTGTCATTGGGACATCCCACTGGGAGATGCATTATCAGCCTGACTTCCAAAGCAAATGTTAACAGTACACATCTGTGCTGTCCCCTCATTTGTTCTAGGTACAGAAGTCATACCTTCTTTATAGTCTCACAGACTTTCTTCCCCTAAACAGTTCTTGCAACTGAAATAAGATTTTATTTTAAATTTTCACAAAGCAATAATTGGGTTTTTTTTTTTTTTTTTTTTTTTGTTTTTGTTTTTTTTTTAATTTGTAGGGTGGTTGCATTTGTCCTGATGGAAGCAGTGGTCATAGACCGGTAATTATATTTCTGAGTTTATACTTCCTTCTACATAATGGAGTGCTTTTAATCACTCACCTGTAAATATGGCCAGTTGGTTAACACTAAATATTAATGGTGATTTCCTTAATATGAGTAGAACCATATACAATTAAATGAAAGAATAAGTTCCACTTAACTTCATAATTACCATTTGACCACTAATTTTCTGTAACTGTTCTTGGTGATCCACATGCTCTGTCACTTAACTATTATGTGCCAATTATTCATTGCGTTCAAAAACCAGTCAATATACTTTGCAGTAACCACAGTTCTTAGTTGCATCCAGCTTAGTTTCCTTGTATTTCTCACTGGTGCAATAAAATGCTGTGAATAAAAATATCAAAATTTGATACGTATTTCAAGATATAATCTCTTAAATTAACATTTAAACTGTTCTTTCCTATAAAGAGAATAATTGAAATTTCAATGTCAGCTGCAGTGGATAAACTTTTCTCTTAAGCAATGCCTCTGGTCCAGGAAAAAGGCTAAGGAATGTGTTTATGTGGACATTATAGACTAGCTCTACCAGGCTCCTGGCTTTTAAAGTCACCTTGGATTTTAAAGTAACTTGTCTTCTATCAAGATATGTATTCCTGAATCTTTTATTGAAGCTGTATTTACATAAACTCATTTGAATGGTATAGAGTTTTCTATTTCAACAAGAAGCATTTTGTTAATTATTCTTTCTGTAAAAAACTCCCACACTATTTAAACAAACTAACTGCATAAAGAAATTACTGCTTTCTGAACTTAATAACTTAAAATACAGCAACAGCAGTTTTGGTCAGATGCAATACCACCTCTTTCATCTAATTGAGGCTAAGCAGTAATCATGGTTTACATGCTTTAAAATATAAACTAGTCCATTAAAATAAATAATAATGAAACTTCATTGAGGAAAAAATCTTTTTATTTGTTGCATGATTGTACAAAAATTCATTTATAAGGAAGGTGGAGACCTTTATGCAAGTTTTTTTCATTCTAATAAACATTTTTCTTTGCATGCTTTAATTATTACAAAAAAAAAAGTTTTAAACAGAAATCCAGCACAGCTTGGTTGAGGAGAGTGTATTTAGTTGCTATCAACTAAAGGAAATTTTCAACCTGAGGAAAATAAGACATCAAAATAGGACAGATTAGAAAACCAGTTCTCAATGCAGTTGTGTCAACTTTGATGCACAAGAGACTTATTTTCCAATTTGCAATCATATCAGCTGATCCAATTAATTTATGATAAATTATGTAGCAGTAGATTTGATCTTTGCTTTCATGGTCTTATCTTCATTTTCTGTCCAGGGCCCTCTACACATGGCAGCTACAGTGCTCACAGTAGCATGTAAACAGATTGGCCAGGACAGGTTACATTCTAATAACAGTTAAAAAGCAAGCTCTGGGTAGATGTATATGTACACATAAACTACCACTCCTAAATCTTACAGAAAAGAGAGAGTGATCTACTTCCTAGGGCAGTGCTCACAGCACCAAGCCTGACAGAGTTCAAGAAGCATCTGGCACATGGTGTGACTCTTGGGGCTGGTCCTGTGCAGGACCAGCAGATTAACCTCAAAATTCTCTTGGGTCCCTTCCAAACTCAGTTTATTCTGATTCCTTGAGAAATTCTTGCAAAAATCCTTCTTCGAGATTTAAAGGCTGCAAGTTACCAAACAGTCTCCTTAAACCTGGAGAATATTATAAATTAAGAGTCAGAGCTACAGATGTTTAAACCATCTTGTTTCAAAGGAAAAATGTATGTGGATCCCCAAATTCCTCTCACTGCAATTATTTTGCTTTTTCTCCAAGCTTTATTTAAAAACAAGATCTTAGTCTACAAATAATCTCAGAGGAAGCAGTCTAACCATAGAATAATGCTTCCCCTATTTTTATAGAAGGGGAAAATGGCAGTTATAGTGAATGTCAGGAACTGGTAAATAGTCTTCCCCTTTAAGTGATGAGCTGAAAAACATGCTCTCCTACATACTCTTTACACTTTGAAAGTCCAGTATTCTGGCAGATTTTAAAAAGGCCATCAAGGTAATGATCATCTATAAAAACACGGAGTCTGCAAGGTATGACATAGGATCCTGAGATTAGAAAAGGAAAACTAAATGTTAGTAGTACTTTCAAATGTTTTAACCTGAACAGGAAATTACAGAACCTGCTACAGATGTCCTTATCTATAAAAAAAAGTAAAAACCAGCATTCTGTTTTAGTCGTTGCTGTAAAGTTTTATTTGAAAGAATAGAAATTCACAGTAGAGTCACATGTAAATGTCTGTTTGCAAGCAAATAGCTAGTCTGTGTTTTCATTTCAGGGAGCCCCAGGTTCTTCATACAGCACATATTCTGGTAACCAGGTAAACATTCAGA